TTCTCCCCATTTTGCTGCTCGTCGACGTGAGCAGGTGCGACCACATCCGGGTTCACAAATGTGTTATTAGCCTGGAGGTCGTGGGTAAGGCTGTTGCCACCTTCGAAACTTGTCGTGGAGTTGGCGCCTTCCAAGAGAAGAGTCGCAGCATCAGCTTCGGCTCCAGCCATTATTGGCACTTTGCCAACCTCCGGTTGGTGAGGTCACTTCCCTAAAATCCTGGAGTTTTTCATGAGAACCTCCAAAGCCTGAAACAGAGAAAATAAAACAGGATTTCTTGTTATTATTAGAAAATAATATAGTTTATCAAAGGAAACAAAGCACTCCACTTTTTACTTAAATGCTACTGTCTTGACACAAGGAAAAAGTTATTTCGGCATTCCTAGATGCTCACTGAACATAACATTAGAGAGAAATTGTGGACATGGAATTTCATCCGCACGTAATATGAAGAGATTTCTGGCAATGTTACTGATTGCAGCAATCATGCATTTTACTTTACTTGTTTGAACTTCAAGTTTCATGACTGCGCCATTAAAACAAGTCTTGCAGTTGTGACCCGAACGTCAGAAGTTAACAGTCTACGAGTCAATTAAAGTTAATAAAAATAAAAATAGAAAATAGAAATAAATTATGAAGGAGTACGACACAAACATGACAGAGCGTGTCCTGTCATGCCAGTGTACGTCTAGCTAGTACTGAGAAGTGGTAACTAGCATGTCTGACTGAGCTGAGGCTGAGCCCGGTCATGCCGGTCCAATTTCGAACCTGAAAAATACATAAGCAAACAGTAAAAATGGCGACTTTCACAAGCAAAATAAGCAAAGACAGTGTCTAAAAACATATATTCCACTGGAATGTAATAATCCAGCATCAGTCTGGAAATTATGGCGAGAAAAAATAGAAAGTTTAGAAACCGGACCTTTTCAGCTAAATGCACATTTCGTTGTGCGCTAAAACCTTTCTCAAACGTGACGTAGGTGGCGCTCCTCACAATAAAAAATGTCACAACTATTTTCTCATAAAACAGGTATTTTGATTGGTTCTTTGACGTGCGTTTACCAAATGGTTAACAACCACACACAAAACATGTTTGGATGAAAATGAATTTGACAATATCTAATATATTTTTTGTTTGTTAACTGTGGTTCACTGAGTATTTTTTTGTTTCTTTGCGAAGATTTTGTTTTGATATTTGCCTTCTCCGGAACTTCCCTGCTTAGCAAAGAAAGCCAATAGCAAAAGGGTTGACACATAAGAAAAGTAGGCGCTTACCGGGAAATTTAAAGGTCACAAAAAAGCCATCCAAGAGCTGCTTTTTCTGCCACGTTTCCAGTTCGTCTCAGTTATTTGCACGGTAAGTGTACCAACTTGATACTTATACTTGCTAAAATACTAGACTACTATGAAGTCACTTAAACATGGCATAAATTACGCTTCGCCTTGGTGAGGTATTTCTCACTACTCACATGACTGACATGACTAAAATGTCACTTTGCATGCTTTGCCCGGCCGTGGCCCCATACCGACTCACCCCTTTCCAACTCGCCCCCTCGTAAACTCGCCCCCTCGTAAACTCGCCCCCTGACCGACTCGCCTCTTACCAACTCGCCTCTTACCAACTCGCCTCCTGGTCGACTCGCCCCCTGACCGACTCGCCCCCATAGGAACGTCAAACAAATATGGCTGGCCCAATGTATTTTAAAAAAAAACAATGGTTCTAACCAACGACGCGACACGAACGACTCACGGATGGTGATGGATATTTGGACATCACCACTAATCACTTATTTATTCAATCGCTTCCTACGTCCACTGTCTGATTAGGTTATTTGTACATCCAACATACCCTCAGGATCAACAACTTCGAACCCTCCATCCCATTAATATTTGGGTATGTGACTGTATCTTCTTGAAGTGACCGGATATCCAGTTAGTTAGTTGTAGTGTTCTGTTGCTCATTCACTCGACTGGGATCTCACATATACTGAGAAAATTGATTTAGGTTCTTGGATATACGCTTTTTGTGTGATGTATAAAGTCATAGGGGTACATTGTACACTAATGTCAATTTTTAACGTCCCATTATTAATTTTTTTTATTTGCGTAATTTTTCTTCCTTTTTTGGAATTGAATATCTTTGAGAGTGTTTTCAATTTGTTTACTAGTAACGGGCACCAGATGACATGACGTCATGACATCAACAGTGCATGCTGGGATATAATTCAATATGGCCGATCAACAATGTGATCCTTGATGACTGTACTCGCCAAATAAATCAGTATTTAGTGTCAATTGTGAACTAATAATTGCATCCTGTGAAGTTATCGGAACCTGAAAGTGTGTAGCGACCGTTACACCCTTTGTCATAAATCATGTCTCCTTAACACTTCCTTAGTTTTGGGTCGCCGGACATTATGCCTAATATGTACCTTTTTTTTTCAAAAATAGTCTGCAAAGTTAATTAATATGGTAGAGTGTTGGTGTTGTGGTGCACAAAATCCTATAGACAATACACAGGAAACGCTGCGCCATGGCCCATACACACGATAATACTGAATATACCAAATTCCACAGAAAGGGAATATCCACCAAGCTTTAAACAAACTAAACTTTGAGTGCCAGCTGCAAACCCCAGAACCTATTTTTAAGGGCAGCAATCACCGATTCCATCTCTGACTGATTGTATTTTTTATTAAATGGTGAATGGGCCGGCCATACATGCTTGGCAAACCTAGGGGGCGAGTTGGCTAGGGGGCGAGTTGGTCAGGAGGCGAGTCGGTAAGGGGGCAAGTTGGTAAGGGGCAAGTCGGCTAAGGGGCAAGTCGGTAAGGGGCGAGCTGGTAAGGGGCGAGTCGTCCAGGGGGCAGGTTGACCTACAATTTGCCCCAGCACGCGCAGCCACTGCAGCGCACACTGCAGATTAAGGCGCAATCTTGATTCTTGTGCAAATTTACTGGGAAAGATTTCCATATACGGACATCACTTAATACCCTTTGCACAAACCCTGTGAACCTAGTTGTAAGTGGTTTAATATTTTCTCTGATCAATCAGCTGATTTAGGAAGGGTTACTCTAATCATGGTACTGTAGTTATCACATTTCCCAATCAAATTTAAAGATTGCTCGCTCACCTTCCTGAATTATCGTATCCTTGTTGTTGCTTAACTTTTACTTTTTATCTTGATTCATAAAAGCTTGTAGTTCAATATATTTTCCTCTACGATAGCTCAGAAAATCTGTGTGCACACCATATGCAAGTGGAGTCTCTATTATTGCAGTATCAAGGAATGCCTTCTACAATAGCCTTTAACCCCTTCATGCCGGGACGCTTAAAGACACGCCGTAAAAATTGAGATCCTCAGCCCGCTTTTCAGCTATTATTCTCAGCCCATGCTTGAGCGAACATGTGAAAGAAGGCACACCCTGGCTCTTGTGTATATGGTAATTGGTCCTTGAGTGTAGCCCAGAAATGAAAAGACCGAATTTGCATCATAACCACCAGCTATACAATAGTCCCTACTTTGAAAAGAGGCAACGGGAATGTGGACGCTTGAGTAGAGCCGCATGCCACCAAACAATCAGCCTTTTCAACGTGTAGTTCAAAGCGTGCAGAGCACGCTGGGCCACAAACCGAGAATTTGCGGTTTGGCAGGTGGCCTTCGTGGCCAAGCAAAGCTGGAATTCTTGGAGTCGGCTTTCGGAAAGAAATTCCCACCGAGAAGGGGTTAAAGCGCTTTGTTTATGAATAAATAAAGATAGAAAGAATGATTTTGTTTTCACAGGAAACAAAATAGACTCATTTTGTAATAATGTTCCACTTGACCTGTAAATTGACTTCATTTTTCCAGTCTCCTCCTTAAAGTTGCCAAATGCCAAGAGAACAATTTGGGAACAAGATGGGAACAATTGCACTGCGTCACCTTACACTCATTAATCCGGAAAGGAATGACTTCATTTTTTTCACCAGCATTTGTCTACCCCAATCTTAAATGTAGCAACAGCCCTGACATTCATGTTATTGCCTAAATTGGTGTTTTGCATTTAGGACTAATAAAATTTATGTGGGTACTGCAATTTTCATTTTTGGTTTACTCGTTCTTTTATCGATGTCTGACACAATTGTTAAAAATGTCTTCCTTCTGAGTTCCAATTCTCCAAGAGTTAGTGCCATTTCATCAGACCTGAACTATTTTATTCAAAATTTATGTTGCAAATTCTTCAAATTGTATGAGAAACAAAAAAAATTGCAAAAATAATGCCGATGTAATTATTTGCGAATTTCCCTTGGGCTTGGAAGGTTAAAGTACAATTGATACAAGTCTATTGTAATGGAGATTGGGGGATGGTTTACGCACGCAGAAAGTTTTTCAGCTCAGAAGCCCTTATTTTAACTCTGAACAATTGACATTTTTGCAGCTAAAATGTGCCTTTAGACACCTTTGGCCATTTCAGAATTGACATATTGGAACCCAGCGACGAATATATCCAATGGGAGGGTTGCATTAGAAACAGCGGTTGAAGAAATAGACTGTAGGTAATGACGGTCACGGTCAAGGCAAATTTACAAATTTCAGAAAAATTTCATCTTGTATTTAAAATATCCAAATTTTTGGAAATTTTTGGAATTTTTCTCTGTTTTAAGAAAACTTATCCTCAGACCATAAATTATTGATTATTTGGGTGAATATTGCCAATTGGGAACTCACTGGCATTGCAAAATTCAAAATTTCCGAAACCGCGATAAAAGAGTTACCGCGATAATATAGGAACCGAGTATACGTACTGTCTGTGCATTTGAAAAGGTTCAACAAATTTTGTGCATTGTGATTGGCCAACTCGTTGCAAACAGAGGTGCACTATTGTGAATCGCCCGTATTGTCATGCATGTACATGTAGCCCAGGCCTAGTTTTAGATCCTAGAGTCATGATATAGGAGACCAATTTTGCCATTAGTTCAAGATTTCTAACTTTGTAACATTGAATACTTGTGTTTTGTGCATATAAATCTCCCATGTTCAACTTTCTTGGGTTAAATTCGGTTCATTTTTGCCTAATGAAGATATGCATAACCACTCTTGTTATATTTTTCTTGTCACAGCAATGTCTGACATCGTCGCTCGGATCAGCTTGGATGGCTGCATGAGCACAATGAACGGTGGCAACAAGATGTTCACTCCCATGCCCGGCGGACGAGCCCGGAAAACCCTCAAAGCAAAGTCGGTCCGACAGCAGGGTCATCAGGTGATGCCGATTGTCCCGTAGGCTCGCTGGAACAGTCACACCTAAACCCCAATCCTCCAGCCAAGCTTCCCGCATGTACCTCCTTCTTTGTACTCGACCTCTCAATTGGCAACATGCCCCATGTACAGGACTAATGTGTCTTGTAAAACTCTTCTAGAATCTTTTTTCAAGATGTATTTTTGCGTTGGGGAGATGTTAATTATATATAACGGGTTTGCCCTTACCCAACGTTTATTAATATACGTTGGGTAAGGGCAAACCCGTTATATATAATCTTCTAGAATCCCCTGCTAGATGTGGAAAATCTCAAGGCATAGGCTTTTTCATGTCTCATCGTGCATTTTTATACCATTATTTATAAGTGCTTTATGGTACCCTCAAATGATTTTTTTCCTGATTTCTATGTATATGCACGTCGTAACTTTTTGGTAGAGCTGCACTTGTTGGATTCAAAAAGTTGTTTTAAGCTTAGTTATTACTTCATGGACGTTAACCATAAAATGCTTTGAATGGAGTGGGAATATACAGATCTTTACTTGGACTTTACATTGCTGACTGAGTAAGATTTATTCTCATACAGAGAACACTCGGAAGTAGGACCACAATCTCCCCCCTTCCAAGCTGAGAAAAGGTCTCAAGAGACCGCCACTGCCGTGCAGTATAACATGAACTTGCTTTGTCCTTCTATAGACAACCCTGGGCTCGTCACCTGTTCTCAGCCAAGGTCAACGGAAGACTCTGCAAGTCATCCAGCCAGCCGTCTGCAGCAAGAAGAAACTGACAGAGACAACGAACAAGGTATTTCAGCACTGACGGGAAGCGAGTAGGCTGATTTAGATCAAATACTGCATGATCCTTTGATTTTGATTCTGATTGTGATGCATGGTGCATGCATTGCTCTGTTGAGTGTTGACTTTGCATCGATCATTCTGCCTGACCATTGCTTGATGACTTTTAAAGAGCAACTGGTTTCAAGCAAGTAAGACATCTTGTCACAATAAACCATTGATAAATAGTTGGACCCTTAACCACTTTGTGCCGGGGTAGCCACTTTCGGGCACAAAGGCTTTATACATGAAGCCGGGGAGCCCAAAACTGGACGAAAGAGCTGGGCCTTATAACAAAAGACCATGCTCAGAACGAAAGACCGAGCTGCTGGGAATTGCTAACATTTTTTCAGCTGTCAATGGCGAAGGAAATCCATCATTGTTTTAAAAGATTAAACCACTGTTTGTGGCGTTCAGCGTGAGCAGATTACCCTCCAGCACTCCAGTGATGAGCGATACAATACGCCTGCACGCTTATCTGGCCCGTACTGAAAAGATGCCAGCTGTGCATTGTGCCAGTTTTGGGAACAAAAGAAACTTATACAACACCGCACAATCTGGGCTTTTTTTACCAGGCAGCAGGCCTGGCTGAAATACTCGGGCATCAATAGAACTTATCTGTTAGATTAGAATAGCCACCAGACAGTCATGTGTGGGTGTAAACGTCGAGTAAATGAAGTTATGATTTTTTAAAGAATCTTAAAAACGGAAGATCTTGAAAATTCCCCGGTTTCACGTCATGCAACTTCAAATTAAACCCGGCAGCAAGTGGTTAAAAGGTGATCTTAAAATAGATTTATGAAAAGTAGGTGATTGAGAAAATGTTTGAAGCGTTACTGTTGAATAGTTTCCGTTCTCCAATCCTGCCACAGCCGAGATTGCCCAAACGGAAGCATAACTCAGACATGCTGGATAAACCGAGTAAAATCTCCAGATGTGAGCGGAACGGCCTGCAGTTTCCAATCTACGAAGATCCAAAGTCAAGCTCAGAGAGCAGCACAGACATTGAGGTACATGTAGGCCCTGGACTTTCGCTCGTGTCCATTTTAATGTACCAGCACAGTGCATGATGTGGGAAAAGTCTGCCCGTGCCAAGACGGTAGGAGCTGGTCTCATTAAACACTGCCACTGTTGGATCTTGAGGCGGCAGGCAACCACAGACTCCCAGGCCGCTTGGTCTTAGGGAAAGTTGACTTGTTGGATCTTGTTATACTCGGCTGACAAGCCACTTTGACAAAATGATACAGTATTTGTCTATGTTTCTAGCCAAAATACTCTGGAGGCTTAAGGATAATGTAATAGAAATCCCACATTTTTGCAAGCTATGATAATAAAAATAAAGCAATATTTAGATTGTCCAATTTAATGAATGACTGACCCATGGTGCACTTGTTGTATTCTTGTCAGTATGGAAAGTGTCCACCCAAGGGGAATACTTACCACAGTGTTCCCCAGGGGTGCTGATAAGGATAAGGTAGCAAAAAAGGAAGGAAACCCCACAATCACCCTTTCCAATACCCAAAGCTCCATGACTCACGGATTAGCTGCTGAATTTGTCATGTCGGGGGGGGGTGCTACAGAAATCCAAGACAGCCGAGGAGGACGCGTGGGAGCTGATGGTTCAGGAGCCAGCCCCAGAGAGCTACTGGAAGGACCTGGCCGAGGAGAGGAGGCTTGCGTTGGAGGATACGCTCAAAGAGAACGAACAGGTGGGGATAAGGCTGGGGATAATTAGCTGGGGTATGGACCAATCCAGTTAGCCCCGCCAACCGCAGTAGGGTCACTTGACCTTATTCACGGGGAAGCCATTTTTGATCATGTTCCCTGAACCTTTCTCATCCAGTGTAATCTGTTATTTGGGATGGTGCCAGACTATTTAGGTTTCCACGCCTCACTTTCCTTTTTTTAAAATAATGTTGCTTAAAACACTTAGATATAATAATCACAAATTTTATTATTCTTCATCGTAAATGGAATTAATTTGTGCTGAACACTTACTTTACTGCTTTCGTTTTTATGCTTAGGTTCCCAAAGTAAAAAAAGTTAACCTCGCTTTCGATACAATATGGCTGACTTGTGACTATTGTCAATTAACACATGCTTCTCTCCGATGTCACACGGAGTGTTGCAGCTGTGCATGTGCAGGCATGTTGGGGTTTTGTATTTACATGGAGGACAAACATATACATTGAAGCTGTAAGGGCAAAAGCTATAATTAAACTTGACATCTCCCCAACTCAAAGCACATCTTGAAATAGTTCACGGTGCCCGCTGCTACATCTGAGACATCTGCACTAGTAAGCTGGTGGTCGTGGGTTTGAGTCCCACCCAAGTAAGCTTGTGAATTTTTTTCATAAGCTCTCGGAACAAGCACTGAGTATACAGTGTTAATGAATATATGTCGGTGGTAAGGCAAAACCTGAAATTAAAGTTTACATCAAAGCCGTGATTGGTCAAAGATTATTGTTTGTCCATTGCAAAACGGAATGTTCGTGTTCATTCGTAACTGCCTAAACCTTTAGACTTTTGCTAATGAAGTTGACTTTCCTATTTTTTAATCAGTTGCACAGTACCATTGCAGAACTTAGAACAGAGAATGGAAGATTAAAAGAGATGGCTGACCAGGCTGAGTATCTGGCCTCTGTCCTACAGGTAAGTGCCTTCCCCCTGCTGGCCAAACTATGGCTGACCAGGCAGAGTATCTGGCCTCTGTCCTACAGGTAAGTGCCTTCCCCTGCTGGCCAAACTCGGGCTCCCATCAGCCAGAGCCCGACGCCCATGCATCAGAGCTCTTCCCTCATGAATCTCCCAGGAATCCAAGTTTTGCATTCTTACTAAAAGCTCAGCTTCTCGTTGGGCAAAGCCCTGCACTGGCCCAAGACTGATTCTTTGGACTGCATCTGTGCCACAGTACTCGAACCTCAGTCTGCCTGAAGTTAATGCTCCAGTCTCATAACTGTGATACAGTCACCAATAGGTATAGGGCTGAGTCATTTCGAATAATTCACTAATCGAATATTCAATCTTCAATTTGATTGAATATCCGAATATTCGGTCACACCAACCGGCAGATTGTTGATGATCAAAGTATTATACAAAATCAGTTGCAATAACACACAATTGTACATTATGATCAATATAATAGCTTCTCTTATCTAGAAGTATCTCCGGCCACGATATAGCAAGA